GGAAGTTCTGCAATTAAAAACCCGGACTTTCAAAAGTCCGGGTTTTTTGTAGCAGCAGGAGAGAGGAGAGAGGAGAGGACAGAGGACAGAGGAGAGGACAGAGGACAGAGGAGAAGAGAGGAGAGCGGAGAGAGGAGAGAGGAGAGGACAGGGGACAGAGGAGAGCGGAGAGGACAGAGGACAGGGGACAGAGGAGAGAGGAGAGGACAGAGGACAGAGGAGAGGACAGAGGACAGAGGAGAAGAGAGGAGAGCGGAGAGAGGAGAGGACAGAGGACAGCGGAGAAGAGAGTAGAGCGGAGAGAGGAGAGAAGAGAGGACAGGGGACAGAGGAGAGCGGAGAGGACAGAGGACAGGGGACAGAGGAGAGAGGAGAGGACAAGGGACAGAGGACAGAGGAGAGGAGAGAGGAAACCCGGACTTATAAAAGTCCGGGTTTTTAGTAGGAACAGGAGAGGAGAGAGGAGAGGACAGAGGACAGAGGACAGAGGAGAGGAGAGGAGAGAAAAGAGGAGAGAGGAGAGGAGAGAGGACAGAGGACAGAGGAGAGGAGAGAGGAAACCCGGACTTTCACACGTGCGGTTTTTTAGTAGGAGCAGGAGAGAGGAGAGAGGAGAGGACAGAGGACAGAGGACAGAGGAGAAGTAGTCGTAGTAGTAGTAGTAGTCGTAGTAGTAGTAGTAGTCGTAGTAGTAGTAGTAGTAGTAGTAGTAGTAGTAGTAGTAGTAGTAGAAGTAGTAGTAGTAGTAGTAGTAATAGTTGCCGTAGTATTATTATTTGTAGTAGTAGTAGTAGTAGTAGTAGTAGTAGTAGTAGTAGCAGTGGTGGTAGTAGTAGTAGTAGTAGTAGTCAAAAAGTAGTACTAGTAGTGGTAGTGGTAGTAGTGAGAGAAGAAGAAGTAGTAGTAGTAATAGTAGTAGTAGTCGTACTAGTAGTAGCAGTAGTAGTAGTAGTAGTAGTAGTAGTAGTAGTAGTAGTAGTAGTAGTAGTGGTAGTGGTAGTAGTAGCAACAGTAGTGGTAGCAGTCGTAGTGGTAGTAGTATTAGTAGTAGTAGTAATAGTAGTAGTAGAAGGAAGAGTAGTAGTAGTCGTATTAATATTATTAGTAGTAGTAGTAGTAATAGTAGTAGATGTAGTAGTAGTAGTAGATGTAGTAGTAGTAAGTGTAGTAGTAGTAGTAGTCGTCGTCGTGGTCGTAGCGGTCGCCGTACAAGTAAAAGCAGTAGTAGTCGTCGTAGTCGTAGTCGTAGTGGTCGTAGTAGTAATCGCAGCAGTAATAGTAGCAGTTGTAGTAGTAGTAGTCGTAGTAGTAGCAGTGGTAGTAGTAGCAGTTGTAGTGGTAGTAGTAGTAGCCGTGGTTGTAGTAGTAGTATTAGTAGCAGTAGTAGTAGTAGTAGTAGTAGCAGTATTAGTATTAGTAGTAGTAGTAGTAGTAGTCGTATTAGTAGTAGTGGTAGTAGAAGTAGTAGTAGTAGTAGTGATAGCACTAGTACTTGGGGCAGCCGTAGTAGCAGCAGCAGCAGTAGTAGTTGTCGTGGTAGTATTGGCGGTAGTGGTAGTACCAGTAGTAGCAGTAGTAGTAGTAGTAGTAGTAGTAGCAGTAGTCGTAGTAGTAGTCGTAGTCGTAGTCGTAGTAGTAGTAGTAGTAGTAGTAGTAATAGTAGTAGTAGTAGCAGTGGTAGTAGCCGTAGTAGTAGTAGTAGTAGTAGTAGTAGTAGTAGTAGTAGTAGTAGTAGTAGTATGACGAGTAGTAGAAGAAGTGAAAGTAGTAGTAGTCGCTGTGGTAGTAGTGGTAGTAGTAGTAGTCGTAGTAGTAGTCGTAGTCGTAGTAGTAGTAGTAGTAGTAGTAGTAGTAGTAGTAGTAGTGGTCGTGGTAGCTTTGGTAGTCGTACTACTAGTAGTAGCAATAATAGTAATAGTAGTCGCCGTATTAGTAATAGTAGTCGTAGTAGTAGTAGTAGTAGTAGTTGTAGTAGTAGTAGTGGTAGTAGTAGTAGTAGCCGTGATACTAGTATGCGTAGCGGTCGCAGTAGTAGTAGCAGTAGTAGTATTAGTAGTAGTAGTCGTCGTCGTCGTCGTCGTAGTAGTAGTAGTAGTAGTAGTAGCAGTAGTAGTAGTAGTAGTCCTAGTCGTAGTCGTAGTAAGAGGGGAGTAGTACTATATGTCGTAGTATAGTAGGAGCAGTAGTAGTAGTAGTAGTGGTAGAAGTAGTAGTGGTAGTAGTAGTAGTAGTAGTAGTAGTAGTAGTAGTAGTAGTAGTAATAGTAGTCGGAACCGTAGTCGGAGCCGTACTTGTGGTAGTACCAGGAATGGCGGTGGTAGTAGGAGTTGTCGTCGTCGTAGTAGTCGTATTGTCATTCGCCGTCGCACTAGTTGTAGTAGTAGTAGTAGTAGTAGTAATAGTAGTAGTAGTAGTAGTAGTAGTAGTAGTAGTTGTAGTGGTCGTAGTCGTTGCCGTGGTAGTAGTAGGTCCTAGTCGGAGTAGTCGTAGGAGAAGTTTTAGTAGTAATATTAGTAGCAGTGATGGTATTAGTATTAGTAGTCGTGGCGGTCGCGGTGGTAGTGGAGGTGGTAGTAGCCGTCGTAGTCGTAGTCGTACTCGTTGTGGCAGTCGTAGTCGTAATACTATTACTAGTGCCGGAAATATTAGCAGTACCAGTACCAATTTCAGCGCCTGTGTTCTAGTGTTTGTAGTCGTATTGGTAAGTGTGGTGGCGGTGGTGGTTGTGAACATGGTAGTGGTAGTAGTAGTAGTAGCAGTAGTAGTAGTAGTAGTAGTAGTAGTAGTGGTAGTAGTAGTAGTAGTAGTAGTAGTCGTAGTAGTCGTAGTTGTCGTAGTAGTCGTAGTAGTCGTAGTAGTCGTAGTAGTCGTAGTCGTAGTCGTAGTAGTAGTAGTAGAAGTCGTAGTAGTCGTAGTAGTGGAAGTGGAAGTAGTAGCAGTTGTAGAGGAAATGGTAGTGGTAGTGGCAGTGGTAGTGGTAGTGGTAGTGGTAGCAGTAGTACTAGTAGTCGTAGTCGTAGTAGTAGTGGCGATTTCAGTAGTAGGAATAGAAGAAGCAGTAGTAGTAGTAGTAGTAGTAGTAGTAGTAGTAGTAGTGGTAGTAGTAGTAGTAGTAGTAGTAGTAGTAGTGGTTGTTGTTTTTGTTGTAGTAGTAGTAGTACTTCTAGTAGTAGTAGTCGTAATAGTAGTGGTAGTAGCAGCAGTAGTAGCAGTAGCTTTGGCAGCAGTAGCAGCAGCAGTAGCACTAGCACTACTTGTGGTAGTAGTTTTGGTGGTAGTAGTAGTAGTAGTAGTAGTAGTAGTAGTAGTAGTAGTGGTGGTAGTAGTAGTGGTAGAAGTAGTAGGAGTCGTAGTAGTTGTAGTAATAGTAGTAGTAGTAGTAGTAGTAGTAGTAGTAGTAGTGGTAGTAGTAGTAGTAGTAGTCGTAGTAGTCGTAGTAGTAGTTGTAGTAGTAATAGTAGTAGTAGTAGTAGTAGTAGTAGTAGTAGTAGTAGTAGTACAAGTAGTAGTAAACGTAGTGGTAGTAGTAGTAGTAGTAGTAGTAGTAGTAGTAGTAGCAGTAGTAGTGGTAGCAGCAGTAGCTCGTAGTAGGAGTAGTAGTAGTAGTTAGTAGTAGTAGATAGTAGTAGTAGTAGTTAGTAGTAGTAGTAGTAGTATAGTAGTAGTAGTGGTATAGTCGTAGCCGTAGCCGTAGCCGTAGTAGTAGTAGTAGTAGTAGTAGTAGTAGTAGTAGTAGTAGTAGTAGTCGTAGTAGTCGTAGTAGTCGTAGTAGTCGTAGTAGTAGTAGTAGTAGTAGTAGTAGTAGTAGTAGTAGTAGTAGTAGTAGTAGTAGTAGTAGTAGTGGAAGCAGAAGAAGAAGAAGAAGTCGCAGTGGTAGTAATTAGTCGTAGTAGTGCGGCGCCGACGACGCCGAAGCCGAAGCCGACGACGCCGATGAGGACGACGCCGACGACGACGCCTACGACGCAGTAGAACCACAGCAAAACCACAGGAAACGACAGGAAACCACAACAAAATCACAGCAAAGCCACGTCAAACCACAGGAGGCAAAACCACAATCTCCTCTCCTCCTTTTCTCTCCTCCCCTCCTTTTCTCTCCAGGCCCTCAAGAAGCTTCAAAACGACCCACGAAGCCCCCAAGAGGTCCCCAAACGCCCCAAACGACCCGCCAAGAGGCCCCCAATAGGCCCCAAACCGAAACGACTCCGAAGCAGCTTCCAAAACAGCTTCGGAAACAGCTTCCGAAACCGCCTCCTAAAGATATTCTGAAACCGCTCCGAAACATTCCGAAGCAGCAGTTCCAAAACAGCTCCGAAACGGCATCCGAAACGGTTTCCAAACAGCCTCCGACGCGGTCCCGAAATAGTTCCCAAACGGCTCCGAAACAATTTCCGAAACAGCCTCCGAGACAGCATCCGAAACAGCTTCCGAAATAGCCTCCGAAAGACATTACGAAATTGCTCCGAAACGGCTTCCGAAACAGTTTCCGAGGCTACCAAACCGAACCGAGGAGGAGGAGGAGGAGGAGGAGGAGGAGGAGGAGGAGGGGGGATTGAAACCCGGACTTTCGAAAGTCCGGGTTTTCATATTTTTTGATTTACGGGGGGTGGGGGGGGGGGAGTCCCAGCAGCCACGTCCGACAATACTCCGCCTCACTCATAACTCCCTACTAGCATCCTTTACTCATCCCCCTTACCCTCATCTGGCTCTCCTCACCTCTCCTCCTCCTACTTCTCCTCTCCTCCTCCCCCCTCCCCCTCCTCCTCCTCCCTCCCCTGCTCATCCTCCCCCTCCTCCTCACTCATCCTCCTCCTCCTCCTCCTCACTCCTCCTCCTCCTCCTCTTCCTCCTCACTCCTCCTCCTTCTCGCCTCCTCCTCCCTCCTCCTCCTCCTCCTCCTCGAGGCTCACCCCGGAGTCCAGAGAGGCCGGCCCCTGGCTGGGGACCCGCAGCCCGCCTCCCCACGCGATCGCGCCGGGGCCCCGCCCCGCCACGCGCAGGGCCGCGCCGGGCGTGGGCGTCCACGACCCCGCCGCGGCCGGCGGGCTGCCGCCGTCAGGCACCGCGCCCGGCCCGGCTTGGGGGGGAGGGGGCGCACAGGAGCGGCCACACGCAGGAGCGTCGCCATGAAGGGGGGGGGGCATCCAAGAGAGGGGTTGTCCCCAGAGGTGTGTGCGTGTGTGCGTGTGTGCGTGTGTGCGTGTGCGTGTGCGTGTGCGTGTGCGTGTGTGTGTGTGTGTGCGTGCGTGCGTGCGTGCGTGCGTGCGTGTGTGTGTGTGTGTGTGTGTGTGTGTGAATGTGTGTGTGTGTGCGTGTGCGTGTGTGTGTGTGTGCGTGTGTGTGTGTGTGTGTGTGTGTGTGGGGAGTGGGTGTGTGTGTGTGGGGTTGTGCCCAGGGCTGTGTGTGCGTGTGTGCTTGTGCGTCTGTGTATGCGTGTGTGTGTGTGTGTGCGTGTGCGTGCGTGCGTGCGTGCGTGCGTGTGCGTGTGCGTGTGCGTATGCGTGTGCGTGTGCGTTTGCGTTCGTGCGTGCGTGTGCGTGTGTGTGTGTGTGTGTGTGTGTGTGTGGTTCGCCACGTCGGCGTCCTTCACAGCTATGCGCGCCCTCGCGTTTCTCTGCAGGCGTCGACCCCCCATCCAGGCCGCCCGCACGGCCCTGCCAGGTGGCATGTTTCGCCGACGCGCGCCTCCCAGCTGGAGGAGCACAAGTTTGCGTGTGGATCTCATGGCCGGGGCCGTCTACCCCCCATCCGTCGCCCCCATCGAGACACAATCAATCGACGATTCCCCAGAAAAGATGGGAAAATATAGGCAGTGGGGGGGAAGACAGCAACCCAGAACATGTGGGAAAACATGGGGAACCTTTTTTATCGGTGTGTATTTACTTGTGTGTCCCAGGGCCCCTTCAGTTTTCGCCTATACGCGCCTCCCAGCTGGAGGAACACGAGTTTGTGGTGTGGCTCCCGTGGCCGGGGCCGTCTACCCCCTTTCCAGGCCGCCCGCGCTGCTCTGCCAGGTGGTAGGCTTCGCCTATACTTCAGTCGGGCCCGTCCCTCTACAGGAGGAATATTCAAACATTGTATTTAGAAAAAAAACATCAAAAAATAGTCCGGGGGCTACTTTTTGCATATTTTTTACCATGTTGGCATATTTTTTGAGTATTGGGCTGGCCTCCCGCCAGGTCCGCCGATCCGGGGAGGGGTGCGAGCGAGATGATGATGATGATGATGATGATGATGATGATGATGATGATGATGATGATGCTAATGCTGATGCTGATGCTGATGCTGATGCTGATGCTGCTGCTGATGATGATGATGATGATGATGATGACGATGAGGATGATGATGATGATGAGGAGGAGGAGGATGAAGATGAGGATGATGATGATCATGACGATTGGGTCGATGGTGATGATGTTTATGATGTGGGTGCTGGCGATGATGAGCATGGCGATGAGGATCCTGGGGACGTCTTGGAGGTTTCTGGAACTGTCTTCGGGGCATCTTGGGCGGTTCGAGCGATGTTTCGGCGATTCGGGGCCCTCTTGCATTGTCTAGGGGATTTGTTATTTTTCGTCGAAAAATTCCCCTGCGGGGGGACACGCCCGACTTAGAGGCCTCTGCTGGAGGAGCACGAGCTTCTGGCGTGGCTCCTGGCCCGGGCCGTGGCTCCCGCCGTCCGGCCCCCGTGGGTCCCGCTCGGGCTCCTTTTTGTTGCTCGGCACGTCCGCGGCTGCCCCCCGCGGACCTCCCATGGGGTCTGCGCGCGCGCCTCGGGCCACGGCTGCGCCCCCCCCCCCCCCCCTCGGAGGGTGGACAGACCTCCTACCCCGACGCGTCGATTGGGGAATTGGCCGTTCTCGGCTCGCGAGAGGGCGTCGCGGCCGTCACTTTTGCGACCTTTGCGGGTCCAGGTCCGTCGGTTTCGGTCCCAGGCCGTTTTCACTGAGGGGAGGTCTACTAGAGGGAGGTTTGTCCACCGCCGACTTGTTTCCTGACCCCCTCCCTCGCCTGCGCACGCGAAGGAAGGAGGGAGGTCCCGAGCAAGGAGGGAAAAAGCATACAGATAGACACACTTGATCGTCGATGCCCCCGAACATATGGGAAACTGTGGGAAGTGGGGGGGGGGCCGACAAAAACCGTGCGAATAGGGGGAATCCTGGGATTTGTGTGTATTTGTTTGCGTGTCCCAGGGCTCCTTGACCGAGGGAAGCGGCTCCTATAGGCCCAGGACCTGCTCGTCATCTGGCGTCGTCTCCTGGGCCCTGGGGGCCTGGGGAGCCCGAGGGCAACGAGACACACGCGCAGCAGGCGCTCCCGCCAGGACGCGCGCGCCCCTCATGCCACGAGAGTGTGACCCCCTTGCCGGAGCGACCTCGCAGTGCGCGACTTTCGGGGCGCGGGGCGTGGCGGGAAGGGGCAGGCCCGAGCGCGAAGGCTGGCACTGCCGCGTCGCCCCAGCAGATCACGTCGACAAGAGTGGCGCGCTGTCGCCTGAAAGGGTACCGATGGCGATCCGGGCCCCGCCCACGAGCCCTCCCACGGTCCGTCCAAATTTTGCCAGCTAGATATTCACCTGACTGGCCAATCAAGTGAGAACTGGTGGGAGTGAACTTTTCGACCGCACAGTAAAATTCCGGAAGGGCTTGCGCACGCACACGCACGCGTGCGCACGCGCTCAGGATGAAGTTCGGGGGCGGGCTCGGCTCCAGCTCGCTCTCGGGTTCGGGCTCGCGCTCGCACCCGAGCTTCCCAGTTTGCGCGGCGCACACGCGCGCGCACACGCGCACGAACACCCACGCGCGCACGCTCGGGGACACGCGCACGCGCGCACGCGCGCACGCGCACGCACGCACGCGCGCACGCAACCGCGCACGTGCACACACCCACGCGCACGCGCACGCACGCTCACGCGCAGGCATTGCCCCCGTTTGTGAGCGAGTCGCAACTGCAATGCTAGGACACCCACCCCTGGGCCCCGCACCCACTCCCCGATGTCATGTATACGTCAAACAGCCCTAGGCGGGGCGTGATTCCAGCGCCCACGTGCCGTCAGGAAGTTTGGGCTCCAGCACCCAATACTTTCGAGGGACAGTTGCTCCAGCAGCCCACAGCGTAGCCTCCAGCACCCAGCTTTCATTCGGGCAAGTGGTTCTAGCAGATGATGCCGTCAAGAAGGGTGGGCTCCAGCACCCAATGTGTTCCGATGGGCAGTGGCTCCAGCAGCCCACGGCGTGGGCGTCCGGCACCCAATTTTCACGAGGGAGAGCGGTTCCAGAACCGGCCAATGCTGCACTCCGATTCTCTGAAGCAACATACGTACAGGACCGTTGCGGACAGGCTGTATACATGACAGGAACAGCTGGAGTTCTGGACGGGCGTCCTGGATCGGTGCTGACCCCCTTCCCCTGGCGCGCGCAGCGCGCCCAGGGAGGCGGGAGGCGCCGCCAGTGGGGCCCAGTGCCAGTCCGAGAGAACTGCGTGGTCTCCGAACGCTTCTGCTTCTGCAGCTTGTCGTTCTTCTTCTCATTGTCCCACAGACAGGACGCTGAATAAAAGGCAGCCGAAGGCTCAGGCGGGGCTTTGGTTTTGGGCCGTTTCTCGCATGCAGCTCGTGGGACCCACTCGTGGCCGAGGCTCGCCGGGGCAGCCCCTTGCGATCCTTCTTGGGCGTTCCTGCTGGTGGCACGGTGGCTTTCGACTGTGGGCCCCCGCCTGGGCAGCTCGCCGCGGGCCCCGGAGGCGAGCTCGAGCGCAGCCAGCGCCGCATCACATCGAGGAGGAGGTCCATCGCTTCCAGCGTGTCGAGCGGGGCCCCCGCAGCCGCGCTCTCAGCCGCGGGGAGGAGGAGGCAGGGAGGAGGGGAAGGAGGAGGAAGGGAGAGGAGGAAGGGAGAGGAGGAGGAGGAGGAGGAGGAGGAGGAGGAGGAGGAGGAGGAGGGAGGGGAGGAGGAGGGAGGGGAGGAGGAGGAGAGGAGGGAGGAGGAGAGAGGAGGAGGAGGAGGAGGAGGTGCCAGGAAATCGAGCCTCGTGAGCCGAGTCGCTGACCCCCCCTTGACCACACCGCGGTTCGGCCAACCCTTGGCGTCGGACTCGGGAGCCTGCAGCGAGAGCAGGGGCGGTCTGGAAGACCCAGTCGCGTTGGTGCGGAGGAGAGGAGGGAGGATGGGGAACGCAGGTGGAAAGGGGGGGGGGAAGCGATAGGGGGGGAGGGTGAAAGGAACGGAGGACAAGGACATACAGGGAGGGGGGGGAGGGGATGAAGAAGACGGGAGGGAGAGAGAGAGGAAAGGGAAGCGAAGAGGAGGAGGAGCAGCAGCAGCAGCAGCAGCAGGAGGAGCATCAGCAGGAGGCCCCGTGGATTTCCCTCCTGGTTCTGGTCTTGCCTACCGTCGACCGTATCGGCTCCGCCCCCTGGCGGCCTCTCGTGCTCTGGTTTCTCCCCCGCTTCCTGCAGGATTGGCACGGGCTGCGTGCTGCTCCGTTCGATCGTGGGGCGCCCGTTCCGTTCGTGTGCGTTCCGTTCCGTTCCGTTCCGTTGATGTTGCGCGTGCTCACCCCCACGAGCGGCTCTGCTCGTGCTCCCCACCCCCCCACAAACCGCTCAGCGTGGTGTGGCTAATCAGTCAGCTCGCCGGTACTGGAGGGGGGCGCTCCTGTTAATTGGTAGCTTCCCCCTTTAGGGTGTGATATCTTCTCCTCCTCCTTCTCCTCCTCCTCCTCCTCCTCCTCCTCCTCATCCTTCTCATTCTCCTCCTCCTCCTCCTCCTCCTCCTCCTCCTCCTCCTCCTCCTCCTCCACCTCCACCTCCTTCCCCCTTTAGGGTGTGATGCCTCCTCCTCCTCCTCCTCCTCATCCACCTCCACCTCCACCTCCACCTCCTTCTCCCTACGCCTCATCCTCTCTCCCCCCCTCTCTCCCGCTCCTCTTCGCTTCCTTCGTCTCTTCGTCGTCGTCGTCGTCGTCGTCGTCCTCGTCCTCCTCCAGCAAGACAGCAGCGCAGCCTCCTGGACAGCTATCCCTTCGAGCCTTTGAGTCAGGGAAGAGGTTTCTGGAGGCCATAGGCTCTGCAAGTCCCCCGAGGTGTCAAATAGAGATCCGCTACTCGAACCTCGATCCTTGTTGCCTTGGGTGGGGGCCTGGAGGCGGCGCCGCCGAGGCCGCCAGGGAGTGCGTCGCCGCTCGGCACCTCACGATTCCGTCGGACAGGCCGCTGACCCAGGACTCGGCGGAGGGAGGCCTCGGGCAGTGCCAACGGGGTCACCACCAGAAGGGCGCCGCTCTCCTCCCTACCGGAAATCGATGGAGGAGGAGGAGGAGGAGGAGGAGGAGGAGGAGGAGGAGGAAAAGGAGGAGGAGGAGGTGGAGGAGGAGGAGGGAGGAGGAGGAGGAGGAGAGGGAGGAGAGGAGGAGGAGGGAGGAGAGAGGAGGAGGAGGAAGGAGGAGGAGGAGAGAGGATCGAGCATCGAGGATGGAGGATCGGGGGGGGGTGAGAACCCCCCTGGTGGCGACCCTGCCCCCTGCCTCCGCCCCCCTGAGGCACGGCCTGCGCGGGCGCGTCGCGCGAGCGGCGGCGAGCCGTCGGCGGCAAATGGGCGGCTCGGCCGAGCGCGGCCGCCCCGTGGCCGGCCGAGGGGCGGGCGGCCGGCGGCGAGCGGGCGGACCCCGTGGGGCGGGCGGGCGGACCCTCCACGGGCGGGCGGGCGGACCCCGGCAGGCAGGCGGAGCGCGCCACCGCGCCAGCGAGCGGCGGCGGGCGGGTCCGCGGGCGGGCGGCCCTGCAGGGCGGGCGAGCGGACCGTCCAGCGGGCAGAGGGGCGGCCCCTAGAGCGGGCGGGCGGGCGAACCTCGGCGGGCGGGCGGGCGGACCCGGCATGGCGGGCGGGCGCCGGAAATGGCGGGGTCCGTCCCAGGTTGAATTCTCGTGACGCCCGAAGAAAAAGTACCATAGACATAAATTTGAGGCGTCGCTGGGGGGCCCAGCGCGGATCCAAGAAATCCGCGCGGAGCGCCAACAGTTTATGTTTATGTTGTTTTTTCCTTCCTCTAGAGATGGCGGGGTCCATCACAGGTTGAATTCTTGACGCTTCGTGTATCAGCCTTGTTTAGCCAATTAGCCTCGCCCGTGGCCAGGACGTTGCCCTTGCCGCCTGATGCTTGTCTCGCGGCCGCGACCAAAAATAATTAGTGTATCAGCCTTGTTCGCTGCCCCGGACATTTGCTTTCGCCGTGTGTGCTCTTCGCTCGCGGCCGCGACCAAAAAACAGTATACCCACCAGGCGTACACAGAATTCCTCGCATATTGCCAGACTGCACGTTGCCCGAGCTTCCCTGGGTGCCCTCAGCCTGTCAGCCTCACTGCGCGGCACAGCAGCTGCTTTGTGAGCTGGCCCGGCCGGCCTGCGGCGCGTCCAGTAGCTAATTAGGCCTGTTTCCGCGCCCCGGACAGCTTCTGACTCCGCCTGCGCCTTCGCTCGCGGACGCGACCGAAAAAAAATATACCCTCCAGGGAGCAACTCGTTCCTCCTGCGTGCTCTGACGCCGCAGCGCGTAACTTCGAATTCCCTGGCTTTTTGCCTGGACTGCACGATGTTCGAGCTTCCCTGGGTGCCAGAACAGCCAGCCAGCCCCCGCCCTGCTGCCCCAGCTGTCGCCTTGTGAGTTGGCCCGGCTAGATTGAGGCGCGCCCAGCAGCTAATTAGGTTTGCCCGACGGCCTGGACATTTCTCTCGCCGCCTGCGCGCTCGCTGGCGGCCGCGACCGAAAAAAAGTATACCCACCACTTCTGGTGCATCAGCTACCCTGGCCTGTTGCAGTCAGCTTAGCCAGCTCCCCTTCAGCCCGCAGCCCCCCCGGCTGCTTCCTGAGTGCGGGCTCGGCCGCTGTGCTTTTAGACTTGCGCGGTGCTAATTTGACGGGCCCGTGGCCCGGACCTCTCAGCTCGGCGACTGCGAATCCGCGCCCGCCCACGACCGGAAAAAAAATATACCCACCAGCGTCAGCGTCGGTTTCGCCTTCTGAGCCGCAGCGTAGTTCGCTCCTGCGCGCTTAGTGCCTAATTTAGCCCGTTGCTCGTTAGCTGCGCTTCGACTTGACGCCGAGCGTTTTGTCGCTACGGTCGCGAAAGAAATATCCTCACCAGTGAGCTTGACGGCGCCTGGCATTCCTGTGCGCTCTCGAACAAAAAGTCTCCCCACCATCCCATCCAGAAACGATTGCCACGGGAGCTGTTTTATCAGGGACGCGTAGGAGCACGCATTTGCACAGCTGCCTTGGAAACGTGTCGGAGGGGGCGCAGACAGCAGCGTGACAATTTGCCGAGTGATTTAAGAGATGCCCCCATGCCACGACGGCTTCTTAGATGTCCCCACGGTTTGTCTTGCGAGACTTCTAAGAACCTCCTGGGGCCATCTTTGGGGCAGGAGGAAGAGGAGGAAGAGGAGGAAAAGGGGGAGGAGGAGGAACAGGAGGGGAAAATGAAGAGGAAGAGGATGAACATGGCACGAGCTTTGCGCTTTCGAGGGGGGGTCCTGAATTTCGTACCCCCCTTCTTTGTCGAGTGTGTGGGTGCAGGAGGGCCCCCCTCTTTGCTGGGTCTCTGCAGGGTCTTTGCTTGGTCTTTGCCGGAGGGGGGGGGGGGGACTTGCAAAGGCCTTGCAAAATGGGATCGTTGGAACCTTGCTGGGGCGATCTCGGGCCCCATGGCTCAACAGGAGCGGGGTGCAATTCAGTCGGGCCTGTCCCTCTTCAGGAGGAAGACCCCAAAATAGTCAAAACATAATTTGGGGACGATGGGTTTAATCTTCTTTTACACTTTTGGTGTAGATTTTGATATTTTCAATTTGCCATCCAAAATCCGAATGTAGGAGGACACGCCGGACCGAAGGGCAACGGATTCAGTCCCCTCCCTCCTTCGGAGGCTCAAAAAGGCAGTCGTTGGGCCTTTTTGGGGCGCTCTTGGGGCGCTCTTAGGCGTACTTGGTACCCTCACGGCGCCCTGTTGAGCCCCACTTGGGGCACTTGTGGGCCCGTCTTGAGTCCATCTTGAGGCCCGGAGGGCCCATCGGAAGCGAAACGGCGAACAAGCAACTAACATTGAGTTTGCGGAGGTGTTCGAAGGGTGCGGGCTTCTTCGGGGGGTTCTTCGAGGGCTCGGAGGGCCTTTGGAACCGTCTGGGGGCTGTCTTGGGGCCTCTTGGATGTATGTCGGAGGCTATCTTGATCTGTTTTGAGCTATCCAGAGCCATCTAGGAGGCCATCGTGGAATATCTGGTGCCCTTTTGGAGCCATCTTGAGCCATCTTGGGCGCTCTAACTACCCTTGCCCCCCCCCAATCCCAGGCCAAGCGGACGGGGTAAGGGGAGGGTTCCCCCCCCCGAGCAGGGGAAGGAGGGAGCTTTGGCAGAGAGAAAATGAAGTTCGTGAAACCACCTACGCCCAGAGGGCTGGTGGGATTGAGTTCTGGGAGGCAACTGTTCTGATCGGCCGTTAGCGAAGAGATGGGCGAGTCCGTCGCACATTGAATTGAGTTCTGCCATGTGCTATCAAAATCCCAGTCGTTGACGCACCGATACGTATTCGGAGCTGCTTAGTTACACCGTAAATACATGTACCCAGTGTCTGTGCGCCGTCGCACCTGTTGGTCTGCTCATTTGCATGGCGACCCCCATGCCTATCGAAGACGAGTCGCGTCTCCACCTCCTGGTTTGTTTCCCCTGCCCTCGGGGGGAGGGTGGCTGTTTGAGCCTTATGTAATATCCGGGCCTTGGACGTAATTGTTTTTCTTAGGTTCATACCTCTGAGCCCACGAATTGTAGAATTGTTGATGGGTCCATGGGGATCATGTCTGTCTAGTTGCTTGCTCCAGAGTGCTGTCAGCATGATTCCCAGTCTTGCCTCGTTCTGGTACTAGA